TAACTGGAAGCAATTACGAAGACCGTTGATAATAAGCGATTCCATATGACCTGCAGAGTTGCTGGTTACATGTCGAGTATGTAGTGGCGAGAGACGTAGCACTACCTTACAACCCTCTAGTTAACAGCATGTCATAACTCGAGAAGAATGGAAAAGAGGCGACAGCGGACACGACTGGTTTATTGGTGTCAAACCAGCCAGGCGGCTTTGTGTTTGTATGAGTACGCGTGGGCAACAGTCGAATGCTGACAGAGGCCAAAAACAAATGGGGTGAGTCATTGGTCCACTCGAGCCCTCATGCACGCATCACTCACACGAGGAGGCTGTCAGTCCACTACAGGTGGTGCTCACTCATTCTGCTCAATTTGCGTAAACGAGTGCATCCAGGTGTATCTTGCTGGTTATTTGTACATAAGAAACTTACAGGCAATGTGGGTTTAAACATGCAATAATTCACTGTGCGTAATAAGAGTGAAGTTCCACAGATCGATTCCAAAGTGTATTACTGCACGAGCACGTCCTAGACTGTCCCAATACAGTTTACCATCGAGTCAGCGTTACTTCATTTGCATAAACCCGAAGCTGAATTCAATGAAACAACTTTGACGTCTGTTGGTCATGAACGATTTCTACCGTCGGTTACTTTCCAATGCAGTAAGGAGCCTTTTGCATTTAACTATTCTACTCCACTGTTCCTCTAAAACCAATCTTGACTGACCATGTGCGTGAAGCCTTCATAGCTGCAAAAGAGGCCTTGGCAACGAGTACCACTCAGGTTTATCATTGATCGAATGCTTATCTGTCCCAATTAAAAGCGACATAACTTTCTGCAGATGGTGCAATCTTACACCAAACCGTCTGCGGAACAGCGCTGTTGCCAGCTTATTTGTGGCCAAGTTCGACGAAGATCAAGTGGTTCAGCACCTCTGGTCGCGTACTGCTGGCTATCTGATTTTCAGCCTAACATTTTTCACGTCTTCTCGAAGGCGGGCAAATTCATGATCCACACCGACCACAACTCGCTAACCTTCACCAAAATTTATGGTTTTCGATCAAATATCACCACATGATTTTCGACAATTTTAAAACATCCTACATGTTCCAACCGGCATTCGCTACTTCAATCACACAACAATCAGATCACGAATACCCGGAATTTGTCATATGTGTGTGCTGGTCGGTGTATTGCAAAGGCAGCTGTCACCACAAACCATGGATTTAATTGCGTCAGTCGCAGGAATTCCAGGCGAAGCGGAAAGGTTTTTCAGATTGGATGGCCCGTTTGGTTACTATGGCCTGAGTCATGGGACCGTCGACTTATTTCGCTCATTACCATTCCTGTCTTCATGGTGAAAGCATGGCAAGGGACACAGTGTCAGAACAATGATCCTACGATACACAAATTTCACTGAACCGAGTCAACAGAAGTGTGCGTGAAAGGAAGAGAGGGGACATGTCCGAAGTGCGTAGGTGGTTGCAGCATTGATGACGGCTTACAATACCGACTGGACTCTCTCTGATAGGCCCTCATTTTCTCTTATCTTTGGCTAATGGTGCAGCACATATTAAAACAACGAATAGGGCTAAAGGTGATGTTTGGTGTGCGGATTCCTGTTTGCCTTACTACCAAGCTCACATATGATCTCTTCATGCTCATACAATGCGCAAGTGATTTCAGCGTGTTAATGGACCAAGAAATGAAGATAGGCTAACTGTACTGTGCAACCACCGGCACGCCATGTAAGTTGACACGAGGTCAAGAAGGCTTCGCACATGGCTTGTCCACTTCCGGAAGTCATATTCACTGACACGCGTTTTCACATAAACAAGCACCGACGCAACTATAAAAGCACGACTGAATGCGGATCAGCTTCAGTTTGATATCAACAGATATTGTGACAGGATGCGTGCAATCATTGTTGCCTTACTCGCCGTTCTGCTTTTCACAGCGGTTTCTGCAAAGTAAGTCTGAATCCGGGGTTTATTGTAACCCTTTACTTTTAGAGAGGTAAGTAATGCAGCGCCTGACAATGCGCACCGGCTCACATTGATGACGTTATAATCGTGATTTTTTGGCAGATGAATCCCATTCGAAATCTCAAAGCACGTGTTAACGCCTTTGTGGAAAAAACGGAGGACTTTTTTGATAATAACGATTTGGGCCAACGTTGGGCTGAGTTCATTCACACTACGAAGGAGATTATTAAAGAAGGTAGGTTGACTTAGTTTGTAAAGCTTACCTATTTTATTGTTGTTTTTAGCTAAAAAACGCTTAAAGGCGCAGAAACGTGAGGAGTAGACATGGACGATAATTACTGCGAACAACGAACACAGTTGTTGAATTATCTCAGTAATCGTAAATAAACCGATATTCATGCACATTTATTGACGTGTATTCTATTTTCCAAACGAATGATCGCGTGTCGCGAGAAGCATAGCACGTGGTTGAGCAGGGAGACTAGGGGTGTCGGTTTGCAGTTTTCGTTGCAGCCCAATTTATTAGGTTACATTTCGATGGGGGTTTGTAATAACTGCGGGGTTTGCATCACCTGTACCATAGCATAACAATGTGGAAGGAGAAATTTGGCTATGTTGGAATGGGTTGGTGCCCACAGGTGCAATCCACGCAGACCAACAGACACCAAATAATGCTGGGGAAATCCTACCACAGAAGACCTTTGTTGGTGGTGTTCACTACAAGCACTAAGGCCATAAATTAGATTTGGCGATCACAAGGTCTCGTCTTAGAAGATTGCCGAGTTGCCTTGAGACGATTGGTTGTGTGCCTAAACAGGTGAGCAAATAGCAATTTGTCGTGAATGTACACTGTGTTCCGATGGTGGAGGCACGTCTATTTGTGATCGAGAGAACACGGCATTCTGTCGCCTGACGTTTCTTGTTAACACGTAGTCAGACAGAGACGAACCCAGCATCACAGGCTCAAGACTGGCTACGAGCTATCACCAGGCGCTCAAATGTACAAATTTGTCAAACGTATTCTGGAGAAGCAGAGGACCATCTGTCCATCCACTTTTGATTGTCATGGACATGCA